AACAGGTGCAATATTGTGTTATAGTTGATGATACTATTAATTATTTGATTATATAAAAAATTGGGGTTGTATTGCATTTTTTTTAGATTTTACATCGGTTGTTTTTATAATTGATGTGAAATCTATTCACATGGGTTATAACCGATGTGAAATACCCTATGATGCAGCTAAATACGAAGGTTTTCAACATGGGTTATTTTATATCTGATGTTGAAGAATCCACATCGGTTATAACCGATGTGGAAAACCATTTGAAATGCCGTTTTGGACATTCTTCTAAATCGGGTATTGCTCAACCGATGTAGAAAGATTTTTCACATCGGTTATAGAACCGATGTGAAAAGTTTCTACTTTTCACATGGGCTGGAACCACATCGGTTATTTGACCGATGTGAAAAGTCTTTTTTGACCGATGTGAAAAGCCTTTTTTGTACTAGTGATTGAACATTTACTCCTAGCCACTCAAATACTCTGGACAATTCCCAAATAGGTTCAGGACTGATTTAATCAGATCCCGGGTAGAAGTCACTGCATCTTGTCCAACAGTGCACGTTGAACCCTACCCAAGACCACTCACCTGTCTCCCAACCGACAGGTGTTTAATCATACTTCACGGGGACCCGCATCTCTCATTACTGTCTCCTTCCGAGGCAAGTAATACTGACTACAGTGACCTCAGCTCCATGCCACTGAACTTTCATTGATCATGTCGTGTCTAGTTACTCACTCCCAAATGTTTTGAAATTTTCTAGGACGCAGACGCACTTTTAGAGTCAGTTGCAGGTCTACATGACCCGCGAGAACTTCCATAGGGCTCATCTATTACAGATGTAGACCAATAATTAGAAGGAAGTCCTGCTGTTGCAACATAAGAATCACCAACATTTTCAGGCCATTGCTAAAGAGTTTATCTCTATAGTGATGATAACGGGCGTCTACACGAGCCCGGGGGCTACGTTATCTTCTTTATATTCTGCTTGTTTTTCATGTTTTATTTCCGCAGAATAAAAGAATAAAGGCATGACGTCCCGAGTCATCGGATCGTCATGAGGGGGAGAATGGTCCACATGCCGTTAACTGTCAAAAAGAGGCATTCTGGGACACTTCTCTCCTCCAAAACTCTCTCTACTATCTTCGCAACTCAAATGGTCGGCTACGCTCACAAGTCAACCATCATTATGTTCCGCTGTGCCACCGACAAGTTCTCCTCAAATGCATTCATTTCAAACAGTCAAAAAGACTACATTGTGGAGGAGACAGAGGTCAAATACTTGTGTCCTGAAGATGAATTCCATGGGCGTCTCCTATTCTCCAAAGAACACTCATTCTAGAGGCGTCACCGGACTTCATCCAAGCTGATCAAGAGCAACTTCTGGAAGGCAAGGACTACATGCAAGATACTGAAGGTCCCTCAACCCCCATCATCAAAGATCAAATTGTCAAGAAGACATCAAAGGGGAGATTGCAAGGATTTCTTCAGATAGCCTTCCTGAGAAGTCAAGTTCAAAGAAAAAGGGAAGCTGAATAACAACAAAGACAAAGATATCTACGCTGCAATGTTGATTCAACATGATTGAACACCAAGGGGGAGATTGTTAGGAATATTTTATGGTGTCCAATCTAATTAAATATCTTTGTATTCGTGGAGTTATTAATTAAACGTGTAATACGGGTCACAAATGTGTATCAGCTCGAGGGCTTCCTTGTAACCCGTAAGTTAGCTAACTTCTCCTATAAAAGGAGACTAACTTACGGGAACCCTAACCATCGATCGAGGCTTAGAGAGCATAAAGGCGTAGAGATAGAGAGATTAGGGTTGCCGCTGCTCTCCTTCTCCAGGGAGAGCAGCGGCCAGTTCATACGGTATACCAGATTTGGTTTTTCATCTCATAATATTCTATCTGCTTCTTCATAACTGCTTAGATTGTTTGATTGTTTAGAATTCTGGGTTTATCACTTCTTAACCAAGAATGCCAAATGTATATTACTCACTTGTATAAAAATGTCATTGTTTTGTCCTTTTAGATTCTGTCCAGAACACACATGCTCTATTGATTATAGACAAGGCAAACATAGACAGGCAACTGCTACTGTGATAGCAAAACTTATTGCGCATAAATACTTTGATGCTTCCCTTAAACCGCACCCACCAAAACAAATTCGTGAAGACATGAGTATGCAGTATGGAATTTCCATGTCATACAAAAAATCTTGGAAAGCACAGAAGAAAGCAATGTAGCTTCAATTTGGTTCTGATCTTGAATCCTATCATGTTTTGCCTTCTATGGCTTATGTGCTTGAGAAGGCGAATCCCAGCTCTATGTTTGATCTAGTCACAGGAAAGGATGATGCATTTTGTACCTTTTTTATGTCATTCAGCGCACGGATAGAAGCTTGGCCTTACTGCAAACCTGTTCTTATACTGGATGGTTCATTCCTCAAGGCTTACTATAAAGGCACTCTTCTTACAACTTGTTGTCAACATGTCAATGATCACATAGTTCCTATTGCATTTGGTATTTGTGATTCTGAAACAAAATCTTCTTGGAAATCGTTTTTATCCAAAGTCTGTCAGTCAATACAGTACAGACATGACCTTTATGTAGTATCTGATAGGCATAAATGTCTTATAAAGGCTGTTTCTGAAATCTAGCCACATGATATCCATGGTTTTTGTGTTGATCATCTGCGTCGTAACATGACACACAAATTTAAAGGATCTGCAGCTAGTTTGGGATGAAAGTTCAAAGCTGCCTATATGGAAGCAACTGTTAAAGAATATGATGACTACTTATCCATGTTGGATTCTGAAGACTCCGGGATAAGGACTTGGCTAGAGAAAATAGGTGCTAACACATGGTCAAAAGTAATATATGGACCAAAGAGATATAATATTATGGCCTCCAATTGTGCTGAGTCTATGAACAAAGTCAATGTATGTGCAAGAGAGTATTCCGTCTCTAAACTTGTTGATTTTTTGTGTGGCAGGATGCAACAATGGTTCACAGAGAGGAAAGAAAAAGCTGAGAAAACAAGTACTATACTCACACGGAAATGTGAGAAACGTCTTGTAGCTTTGCAAGATGAAGCTACACGTATGAAGGTATGTCAAAGCTGATTTTTAACCATAAGTCAGTTCTCAGTTTTTTATTTGGTTATATAATGCCACTTTGTTTATCACTATGTCATTTTGATTCTGCAAATCTGTCAGTTTTGTTCTTGTGTTAGTATATTGTTTAGATACTTCGTTTTTATTCTAATTTGATATTCATATTTTGGCCATTTTCTAGGTGAAACCATCATGTGCATATGAATTTGAAGTTGTTGCTAGCAGATGCACGTTCTTTGTGGTCAATCTCAACTCTAGAAGTTGTACTTGTGGCCAGTTTCAACTAGATCACTTTGTTTGTGTTCATGTTGTTGTTGCAATTGCTATACGTCATGTTATACTTACATTTCTCCTTTTTACACTAGAGATGCTTGGCTTGCTACATGGTCTGGTATTATGCATCCAATTGTTGAACGTGACAGTTGGTCTGTTACTGCTACTATTCAAAACCAACTATGCAAGCCACCAACTTGTATGAAGCATCCTCCTGGTCGCCCGAAGAAATCCAGGATCCCATCCATCGGAGAATATAGAGGTTCAAAAAGACAAAAATGTTCTAGATGCCATGTGCTTGGGTATAATAAGAAAACTTGTAGGAATCTCATTCCAATCAATACCCAGTGATGCCCATGGCTAATTCATTGTATTCTGTCTTTTGTTTTTATACAATACTTTTAAGAATTCTATTATGGGGTTTGGACGTAGTTATCATTTGTTTAAATGTTCTACCATTCAGTTTTCAGGACTTATGTTTTGGCATTTTGTTTACTCGTAACTGACATATGTCAGATTTGATGGCAATTTCTGTTCACAATTGATGACAGTTTGTTATGGATAGAATTGAATGATGTATTTCACATTTGATGTCAGTGTAATATATTTAGTCATTTTCATTGCCCACAATGGCATGTCAATACTGTGATGTCCTATTGTATATGCGTAATTGACATTGTTCACTATTGATGTCATTTGATTTACTAAAAAATGTCATGTAATTGTCATTTTATGTCATTTACATGCTGCATGTAATCAAATCTGACCCCACAAACAATCCTTGCATATGAAAATACAAATATCCTGTACATAAACATAATTGAATAAACTTGTAGGAATCTCATTCCAATGAATACCCAATGATTTACCTTTGCCAACTCATTGGACGTAGTTATAATTTCCTTAAACATTTAAGGTATTGATTTAGCCATTCTGGCATTTAGTGTTTATGGTTTGTGTTTTGTCATATTTGATGATATTTTAGGTTCAAAAAATGTCATGTCAAATGTCACTTTATTGTCATTTAAATGGTGCATATAAACAAAATTCTATCATTCTTTGATGTCATTTTATTTAGGGAGAACTATCAAATAAGCCCTCGAACTTTCATAAAAAGTGCAAATAAACCCTTTTATAGGAGGCTCTGTCCAGACATCGTCATTCGGTGGAATTTTTTGATAAAATTTTTTGAGTATCTTCTTCATTAAGTCCAGTTTATTCATACCAAATTTCAGCTAAAAATTAAATTGGGAAGGCAGTCAAATGAATATTTGAAGATAACTGCGTAGTTAGACAGCGCAATATATTTCAAAAAATCATTTGACTGCTTTCTCGATTGAGTTTTTAGCTGAACTTTGGTATGAAAAAACTAGACTTAATGAAGAAGATGCTCAAAATAATTTAATCAAAAAATTCTACCAGAAACTGCCCCAAATGATGATAGCCGAACAAAGCCTTCTGTAAAAGGGCTTACTTGCACTTTTTATGAAAGTTCGAGGACTTATTTGATAGTTCTCCCTTTTGTTTATTAAAAATGACATATGTTTATATATGATGTCAATTGCTGATACAACAAATGTCATCTAAAAGTTAACACAAGTATAGATGAACACAAGTATCCTATGAAGTATGAACCATTACCATTTGAAACATATGTTCATACGTTCTGTTCGAAAACAATAACAAAGTCAAACAACATGTTGTTCAAAAACAATAACGAAGGATAAACATAATTGTTTCAAAACAATAATAAAGGATAAGCATAATTGTTTAAAAACAAATGTACTGGATGTTCCAAAAGTACTATTACATATTAAATTAAAAGCTACACTTCATTCTTTCTCAGCCTGCCTTCTCTGGATGTATTGAACCAACTTAGTTACCATTTTTTCCCTAAACAAGGGTATTGCTTCAGGATATATGGCATCCATGTCCATCTCTACCATTAGAAATTCTGCCATCTTCAACATGTATATTCCACAGTTTCCCCCTGATGCATAACATAAAGCAAAAAAAATTAAAATAAAAAAGAAGTTCACTATTACGCAATCTATTCAAGTAAATTTATATGCTCTTATGACCCATCATCTTGTTGTGGACATCCTTCTATAGGCTCAACTTCCAAATACCTTTCACCCATACTCTCTTCACCCATCAGTTCATAGACTCTGTAATAATCCATAATTCTGGGCAGGAGCACAGTTATGCTTGCATAATAGGATCTGATAACCCTCAGTGAATCACCTCTTATGGTATTTGAATTGTACACCCTAACTTTTATTTGCTTGATATCTAGTACTAACAACACCCAATGATTACCAGTATTCAAAGGAAAGTACACATAGTTTGCTTTGCTCCAGTGTAGGCTATAGTTGTTAGCACCTATTATTTCATGCACAATGTTTTCTTGTTCTGCTGACTTGTGGTAGGTTTTGTACCCCTTTGATATTGTGTCAAGTTCACGCTTGAGTATTTGCAAGAAAAAGGGCCAGTTGTGGTATACTTCGGTGACAGTTTGTAATGCACCCTTTTCATGCCCAAATAGTACATTACTACCTCAACATGCTGTAAGAAGTAAATACACATTTAGCAATTAATGGTAAAGCAAACTAACTGATAATGTCATTCTGTACTGACTCAGATTTATTTAAATTTACACTGTAATTAAACTGACAAATATATGATCATTTGTATGCGTACCTTGTCAGTGATCCATTGGTCATTCATAAACAGGTCATATAACCATTTTTTATTCAACTTTCATTGTATCTAGCAAAATTAGTTTGTTGGTCATTCTGTCTTCGTCCTTTTTGTACCTTCTGCCAGTTTTGTTTTTTGTGAAGTTCTTCACCAATCCAACTTCCACGTATTGTTTCACCCTCTATATTTCTTCAACCAGTAGGTTCTCTGTTGGATCTTCAGAGAAAGGTCCAATTATTTTCTTCAAAGGTGGCAGAAATTCATCTTCTCTTTTCTTTCTCTTTTCTCTCTTCTTCCTCTTTGATGCATGCTCAGTTCCCATGTACTTCATTGGTGACCTAACAACACGCTTTTGTTTGGGAAGATCCTCCTAAGGCATTGACATAATATATATTATTTACTATGTTCTTATATGTTTATTAAAAAGAAGTAATATACAGTCAATGTCAAAGTACAAAATGTTCATAAACATTGGCAGTTGAATGTCAGTTTAACAATTGAAAATGCCACATGAATGGCATTTTACTGAGTTTTTGCATTTACCTGATCAGTTATTACGAGTGCTCTGCATGGATTAGAAGAATAGCTCCCAAAAGCCTTTTTTGCCACTTCATCTGCACTCCTGCACATCTCTTGGACAAACTGACTATTTTCCTGTGAGCCCATCCCCCAACCAGACTCACCAGTGTCTTTCTTATCTTCCTGTGCAGGTAGTCCCTCCTCTTGCATTTGGACATTGTCTTCAATTTTTTTCTCACTACCTTGAGACTGAGTGAGTATTTTGAATGTAGGCATGTCACAAACTGCTTCTTCAGTGTTCTTTTCTATCTCCTCAGTGTTCTTCTCTTGCATTTCCTTTTCATTTCTTTCTGCATCCTCAGTCTCTTCTTTAGCATCCTCGGCCTCTGCATTAGCATCCTTATTCACACATGAATGGTCACTCTCAACATTTGCAACCTCTTTCTCTATACCAGCATTCTCATTTTCTACAACATCATCATTCTGTACAACACCATCCTCAGCCTCTGCATTCATCAACCCAGTCTTCTCTTGCACAGCCATATCAACAACATCATTCTCAGAATCTGGCCTAGTCATGGCTATCACATCATCTTCTTTTTCTTTTTCATTTTCTTCTTTTTCTTCTCCATTTTCTTCTTCATCTGTATCACCCTCTGCAGTTGCTTTTGTAGGGGCTCACTCTTCTCAACACTCTGTGACATTTTGTTGAGCATCAGAATGACATCTTTCAAAATATCCTCTTGCTTTTTTTTAGTCTTCTTCATATTTTTCATTTCTACCACTAATCTGGCAAACTCCTTTGCTTGTTTTCTCATGCTCTTTTTAATACTTTTGCTGTCTTTGTTCATGAAGACTACATACTTATCTCCTTCCCTTCCACTCTCACTAGAATCATCACTATCGGTCTCTTCACCTTCATCACTTTCTTGATCACTTGAATCATCATCACTCTCTTTTTCTACTGTAGTCTGGTTTCTTCTTCTTCTAGAAGGTCCTTCTTGAGATTTGATTGCTTTACCCGTGCCCCTCCCAACTTTTGTTGTTTTTCTTTTGGCTACTCTGGTCTGCATCACCTTTTGTTTCTCTTTTGCTACAATAGTATTTGGCTTTTGAGCATCAATCCTGCCAACATTGTTAATCACAAGGTGCATCACCTCCTCATTTATGTCATTTCCCTCTTCTATCATAACAATCTCATCTGCAGTTGGTACTATATGTGTCCATTCAAACTAAAACAAAAAACCATGTTAGTAAACAATATGTGCACATAAACATTTAAAAATTTACATATTAATCAATAACATACCTTGTCATTCTTGAATATAATTTCAGAAAGGACCTCCAGTGTAGGTTTTTTTAAACTACCACTTTAGAGTCCTTGGTATGATGTGTCGTCCCCTTGATGAATTTGCACAAGCCAACCTTTGCTAAATCAGGAAAAGTTTCAAATGCCCACCACTGGAATGCCACTATGAAGCCAGGGAATGTTACTCTGTCTACTTTTCCTTTATCTAGTGCCTCACAGCTCTGTTTCACCTTGTTAACTAAGTCCACCGAAACGTCATCACTCCATTGATAAGCATTGAATGCATCCAAGTCATTAACTAAATTTATGTAGTATGCCTTCATGGGTCTAGCAGATTGATTCCCAAATAAGCAATGTGAAAGTATGTATAGTAGTGCCAGTTTGACTCCATCATTTGTCAGTCTACTATCATCAATGCTCTTGTAATTCTTCAATGCATTCTGAATATCTACACAAGTCACAGTTGTCTTGGCTCCTAAATAATTTGTCCATATATCTCCTTCAAGCTATTCGGAAATATTTGGCTTCACAGCTCCAAACTTTAAAGCACACATTACTGCAAGATCATGCTTCTGGCAGCTGATGACACTGTCTTTAATGTGAAACCTGATGACACAGTCATTTGTGTTTCCATTAACTTCAATCACAAAGTTTCCAATCAATCCCAAAATCAACTGCCCACTCAGCCAAGACATGTCTTCTATTCTTAACATCCAACCAAATACAGTATTCTTAGATATGTCTATTTTCTTAAGAACCTCAGCAACATTGCAGTAGGAGTTAACACGCAAGTCTTCCAACTTCACTAACACTGACTTCTTAAAAGCTCTTGTTATTGTCTGTCAAGTTCACACATATATATGCACTTTAATCACCGTGTAAACTAGTTTAACATAAAAAATGACTAACAATAATGACACGTCATACAAAATGCCATCATATGATCTCATAAAATTTATTAAACTGTCATTAGTGCATCAGTTTCTCAATTTCTCATTCAATGTGATGTCATTTTGCTTTGAAGCTCACACATATTCACACAATGTCATTATTTAATGCATAATGTCATGATACCATTCAAATAAGGTTACATTGCCAGTATATAACCACATACTCATGGAATGTCACTTTCATACAAAATGCCACTATGTGATCTCATAAATTTTATTAAACTGTCATTAGTGCATCGGTTTCTCAATTTCTCATTCAATGTGATGTCATTTTGCTTTGAAACTCACACATATTCATACAATGTCATTATTTAAGACATAATGTCATGATAACATTCATATAAGGTTACATTGCCAGTATATAACCACTTTCATACAAAATGCCACTATATGATCTCATAAAATTTATTAAACTGTCATTAGTGCATCAGTTTCTCAATTTCTCATTCAATGTGATGTCATTTTGCTTTGAAGCTCACACATATTCATACAATGTCATTATTTAAGGCATAATGTCATGGTAACATTCATATAAGGTTACATTGCCAGTATATAACCACATACTCATGGAATGTCACTTTCATACAAAATGCCACCATATGATCTCATAAAATTTATTAAACTGTCATTAGTGCATCAATTTTCAATTCCTCATTATATGTGATGTCATTTTGTTTTCAACCTAACACATATTCATACAATGTCACTACTTGAAGCAGAATGTCATGATAGTCTTCATATAAGATTACGTTGGCAACATAAGCACATATTCATGCAATGTCACTTTCATATGAAATTGCCGGTATAACTCTGTAAACTGTCACTTATGCATCTACATCTCAAATTCTACATAAATAACACATATTCATAAACTAGGAACTCCATTAACGGTCAAACAACATTGATTTTCAGGCATTCCGTTAAGAAAAAAGTACATATCATTTCGGAATTGATTTTTATAGAAACTATATCTGATAAATCCATTGCTTCGACCTTCAAGTGTCCTCAACGAAGCGACTCTCGTCAACGAAGCTAATCTCCTATACTAAACGATTCTCCTTCAACCGTAGGAAGTTTTACAGACTCAGAGTTTTGATCAAATGAGTTATGTCGACCGAATTACTGTTTCGGCAGTGAGTCTTCATTTAATGTTTGGCATCTTTTTTTCGGCGGCCATGATGATAGTGGAACTTGGAAACCGGGAATTGCCGTAATGGGATGGCTTAACCATCAATGAGGTTATCATACGTGTGTTGCAGTTAGAAAGGTTATTTTTGTCAATTTAACGCAAAATTAGTCCTACGCGCGTTAGACGAAACTTATGTGTCTTATTTTTGCAATTTTAAGAAGGTTTGGTCTTATTTGAGTAAATTTCTCGAACATAATCAGCCAATAGCACAAAGACAACGAATGAAAAAATTGAAGAGGAAAGACACTATTATTTGACTTTTCTTGTTAGTATGGCTTCCTTTAGGAAATATCAAATACGGAGTTTTAATTTTTTTAATCGAAATGTTGATTAGCTTTTGATCAAATTTTATGAAATTGGAGTAATAAATAAAAAAACCATGATCCATTCCAACGTAAATAATACGGACAGGGATGGATTTAAGGGACGCGAGGGGCGACGGCCTCTCTTGAACTTTCAAAATTTTCTACAATATATATAATATTTTCCTAAAATTTTCATACTTTGATTAGATTCGCCCTCTTAACTTTTAGTTTTCAAAATTGATTTATAGTCTTACATAATGTAATACTTACTTGGAGATTTAAAAGAAGAAACACCTAAGATAATTTACATAACTTAAATAAATAAACAATAGAACAACTCATTGTTTAAGATTTATGATACTTATTATATAAAAATTCTTAGTTTTGTAATGTTTAATTATCTTTATTTGATAACTAGTACTCAAATACCGAACACTAGTCACACAGTTTACAAACGATATTAAATACCGAACACTAGTCACACAGTTTACAAACGATGTGAAGTGAGTCCAAAATATAAATGTTTATTGACATTAAAATACACAATTCATTTATTTCTTACATTCTAAAAAGACTTTATTGCATAGATAATAAACTGTAACTTAGTTTAGCATTAATACAAATATAATATGCACTATATATATGAATTACCAATATAATATTATTCTAAAAAGAATAACCTCATACATACTATTATAACATTAAGAAAAGTCATCGTGACTCATGAATACCCTCCTTGGTAGGCAAAAATTGTAATTTAAAAACACGTTCTTTATTTTTATAAGATTCATGTATTTAGACAATGTAGACGTTGTTTTAAAAGTATTGGTGAATGTGTTCCTTATAAACTCTTTATTTTCAAATAAAACGTTATATATCCTTTTTATTTTCAAATTATTTTCCTTTTATTTGTCATTTATTACGATTTAATGTATCAATACTTTCTTTCTAGAGCTCTTCAATTATAAAATTAAAGATATAGATTTAAATGTCGATGTGTATGTATTAATGAAATTTTTTGAATAAAAATAAGGAAAAATTGAAAATAATAATACCAACTATTACCGGTTCGCTAACAATAATCTCAACTATTGATTATTTTTGTATAATCCCAACTATATGGACCGTCCGCCAATAATGGTCCATGACCACATATTACCTGCTCCAACAAGTGAATTTTAAATAGATTTTTTTTAAATAAAATTTGGGATCATTTATATGGATTATATTCTATATCTTTTTTAGAAACTATAAGAATTTATTTACAGTCGGTCACGTCGAACCATTATTGGCGGAAGATCCCTAAAGTTAGGATTATTCTGAAATAATCGATAGTTGGGATTATTATAAGCGGACCGCCAATAATTAGGATTATTACAATGAATTTCTCCTAAAAATAATCGCAAAGCCTCACACTGGTGAAAAATATCAGCCCGCTACACTAGGAAAAAAAGTCACCCTGCCACCATTGAAAAAATGACCCGCTACTCTAACAAAAATTTTCGTCCAATTAGGCTCGAAATTTTGGATACGTCCCTGAATACAGAGTATATTGTTAATTTTGTATTATGTTGTTATACTCAAATATCAATTTCCTACTTAAATCGATCAGTCCATTATCTATTTTACAAGTTTCTCTTAAAAACCTCCCATAATAATAGATAGTAATGATTTTTCCTACCCTGTTCCTTTATAATCCTCCATTTTCTAGTAGTGGACTGTGAACGACGACCTCTTGAAAGTATAAGTGAACTTCACCAAATCCGAAGTATTACATTAATTTGAAATGAAAGTGTCAAACAAAAAAGAAAACCAACCAAAACACCCCAATGACTGGCATGATTACAGCAAGGAGTTAGAAATAGATGACAAAAATTGAATGGATATTTAAAAACATGTACCTTTTAAATAGTAATTATACAGAGAAATCGTGGTGCCAAGCATTCGGCAGGTTGTACTCTAGCTGAACCATAACCTTGAAACCGAGCCATAGCCAATACAGATGGAGGCGCAAGACAGTGGCGGAAGCCGAAATGGAAGGGCAGATATGTAGAGTAACGTAAGGGTGAGTCTGTAAAACACCTTCTAGGGCATACCGCTTTATCAGTTTATCTCAGAGTCTTCTAGGGCCCATTTGGTCGGGGTAATCAGATACGGTTCACTGGTTTGAAGAAAAATTAGGAATGTTACATTCTCGGGAATGTTATATGGAAGAGAATGTTAAATCCATTCATGCCTTACGTTATCTCACATTGTAGGGGTGATCTAATTTTTTCCGAAAATACCTTCAATTAATTACCTCTTTTCATTTAATTTCTTTATATATTCAACTGTTATTAATTTTTTTTTTGTGACTTTATAAAACTTTTAATGTAGTGTCTTAATATGTAAATTTTATTTACTAAAAATAATCTTATTATTGACACAGATCGGTTAGTTTCATGGTCAATCGAACATCGTAAATTGTGTAACCTTTTAGGTGGGACGGACAAAGTATCAATTATATTCGAATGTCTATTCTTGTTATTTGCATATTTTTTGCCTTAACATTTTAATTTTTTAAGGTATTTATGTTATAAGAGTTATAGATTTAAAGGGCATAAAAGTAATTCATCATATATGTAATATAAGATATCTTTCAACCAAATAAATTATGACAAATTTCCTTGATGTTAATCAAACACAAATGAGAATCAATTGAATACATTACCATCAATATATCATACCTAGCAATCTGACATTCCTGACATTCCTTGAACCAAACATACCCCTATAGTTTCATCTCCACCGTATATATCAAAAGACTTGTCCGTATCTATCAGTTATTTGACTACTTATTTCTATTTCTAGGAGAGTATTATGGAAACAGATTCTTTGGCATACGGCAGAGTCCTTGGCTCAAATCCGCGGCAAAGAAAAAAGGAGCCGAGCTTTGGGATCAACAAATATCACATCAGACGATCATAAATAGGTAGGCATCCTACCTGACAGCCAAATCCACGCAGAGAAACCGGATTCAAGTATTATGTCAATGCTCAGATTGCCACCTTTACCAATGCTATATTAAATGAGTGAATGTGGAGTCTCGAGATGCGCCGTTATGCAAAGAAGGGGTGTTCGTTGGTTTCGATTTTATCGGTTCGGTTTTATCGGTTTACGGTTTCGAAAACCGCAACCGATAAAATCGCACTGTTGGTCCGTATTACAAAGATGATAATCTAACAGCAATATATTAAAGAGTGAATCACAGAATAATATGACAATATGAAGATTGTTGAAACCCTCTCTGGTATACCGTGTAAACCTTTTACAGAATAATGTTGGCGCTGAAGCTCTAAAGGTCGAATATCAAAAGTTAACGCAAACCTAAGCCTTATGCGCATATTTATATATGCAGGCAGGTTTGCGTAAAGGCTTTATGCCATGAATATGGGCTTGACAACTTTGGCCCCATATCCTTTTCTAGCCTATTTAATATAAATAATTAATACGCAAATACAAAGATATTTAAATAGATTTGACACCATAAAATATTCCCAACAATCTCCCCCTTGGTGTTCAATCAGCATTGTAGCGTGAATATATTTGTCTTTTTGTTGAACTCGACTTCTTAAGAAAGCTTCGTGTTCAATCGTGTTCAACCAATATAAGGTTAAATGATAAAAACCAGAACACTGAGGTGTTCCGTTAACACAACATCAATGTAAACACTCTAGTTGTCACTCTGGTTGTTATGACATGATCATAAAAGCATTAAAAATGATAGAAGCATAAAAGCTCTAACATGACTTCCAACCCGTCATTGTGAGGCATCTAAAGTAGATGTCACTCTGGTTGCTATGACATGATCATAAAAGATCAGCAAAGATAATGTAGCCCCCTGGGGTCATGTAGATGCCCGTTATCATCACTATAGAGATAAACTCTGAAGCGATGGCCTGAACAAGTTGGTGATTTCTATGTTGCAACAGCAAGACTTCCTTCCGATCATTGGTCTACATATGTAATAGATGAGCCCTATGGAAGTTTTCGCGGGTCATGAAGACCTACATCTGACTCTAAAAGTGCGTCTGTGTCCTATAAAATTCAAAACATTTGGGTGTGAGGTAACTAGACACGACGTGATCAATGAAAGTTCACTGGCGTGGGGCTGTGGGCCACTGTAATCAGTATAAGTCACCTTAAAGGAGACGGTGATAAGAGATGAGGTTCCCCGTGAAATATGATTAAACACATGTCTGTTGCGAGACAAGTAAGTGGTCTTAGGTAGGGTTGTGCATGCGTCGTTTGGACAAAATGCAGCGACTTCTACCCGGGATCTGAATAAATTCAGTCCTGAAACCTATGGGGATTGTCCAAAGTATTTGAGTGACTGGGAGTAATTTTCTCGATTGATAGCACAATAGAGGTAGCAGATTTGACAATGATTATTGTTCTCTTGCTCACTTGAGCTTTCCGCTTTCTCACTCTCATAGTGTTCGCTCAGTTACTCACTCACTATCGGCTTTATCCCTTGGGTAGGCTAAGTTGGGTTTACTAAGCCATTGGGACTTATCTCTCATTTCTCTTTGCTCTTTTGTTTTCTCTCTGTACTCCCCCTCAACTGGAGCACTCAGTAGGATGCCTTTGATGATGATTGGCGCTTGGAGGACAACTTTGAAAACTCCCCCTCAAAATTTGCATCCTTGAGAGAATCCTTGCATTTTACATTGTCTAGCACCAGGAAGAGAAAAATGAAACCCCCCCTCTCCCCCTCAAAAGTTGCAAGTTGTTGTTTGTTACCCTGGGAGTAAAGTAGAAAACTCCCCCTTGGAATGTGCTTTCTTCGTTGTTTGACACCAGGAGTAGTGAAAAAGAAACACTCCCCCTCAGAATATGCACTCGTTGTTTGTTCTTGGCACGTGTTGGTGATGGGATGTGCATTTGTTGATCTTCTGCTTAGTGAGGTAGTATACATGCCAATACTCCCCTTGATAATGTGCAACAGTTGATTGCTCACAACTCGTCTTCATAACCGCCATGTGTGTAGAGCAATCGGATCAGTTACCACACATGACGGACCTTCAACACAAATTAAGTATGTTTCGGTACCCACCTCCAGATGGGTCCTTCCTTGTCACCCATATTGCAGGGGTATATGTGTACATTCTCCCACTTAATAAACAACCCAAGAGCGTACTTACTCCAATAACCTATCTCAACTATGTTGATGCTAGCATTAATTATACCTCATTGTCTGGAAAGGAAGCACATAAGTGTTATATTGAACTTGGATATGCTATATATGCTAAACCTACAATTCTCATATTAAATTGGTAAGAACTTAATCGGCCAAATCTAGATTAGCTTTTGAGTTTTGATCAAATGTTACCCACCCAGAGGGTACCCACCTCCAGATGGATCCTTCCTTGTCAACACAGAATAAGTATGTTTCAGTACCCACCTACTACTACAATGAGGTATAATTAATGCTAGCATCAGCATAGTTCAGATAGATTATTGGAGTAAGTATGCTTCTGGGTTGTTTATTAAGTGGGTACTTCAACACAGATTAGTCTTGTTTTTGTACTTTCTTTTTCATTAATAAAATACTATCCTTCGTTCCATAAAAGTTGCAACAATTTGACTTTCACGTTTGCCAACGCGCAACTTTGACTGTAATTATATTTATTTACGTATTAGTAAACATTAAAAAAAGTTAATATATTGGAAATTTACACTAATACAAATTTATTAATATTTTATACATAATATTTTTATTATATATATTATTAGAAAATCGTAGTTAAAGTAAGGTGTGTGAATAGTGCAGAAATTCCAATTTTGCAACTTTTATGGAACGGAGGAAGTATCTTTTTCAAAAAAAAAATCTTTGATTTTATTTACCCTTATTAAAATTAAATTCTCTATTTTGTAATCTTTGACTATTTATATATACAAAATATGTAATTTTATAGTGCAAAGAATGCAAAAAAATAGTATATTTTTAAAGTGCAAGTTGCAACACATATGTTAACACTTTTTCGAAAGTAGTAAGTATTGAAACAATATTTTATACTAACAATATTAAATTGTGATATAAAAAAAAAATAAAAGGGAGAATTGAAAACAAGTACATTTTTAAAAAAAATTATTTTTAAATTTGAATTTATACTTTTTTGGTGTTTTTTGAAATTTAATTATTTTATCTATTTAAAGTTAATAAGGGTAAATTTGCTCCTTTATACGAACATGAGGGGTACTTTTGCACTTTTTAAAAGTTTAGGAATATATATGCACTACAACATATACTTTAGGGGTAGATTTGTTCCAAAAAATAGAACAAGGGTATATTTTATCTCACACCCATATTGCAGGGGTATATGTGTACTTTCTCCCTTTTATCTATTTAAAGTTAATAAGGGTAAATTTGCTCCTTTATAAGAACATGAGGGGTACTTTTGCACTTTTTAAAAGTTTAGGAATATATATGCATTTCAACATATACTTTAGGGGTATATTTGTTCCGAAAAATAGAACAAGGGTATATTTGTTCTCACACCCATATTGCAGGGGTATATGTGTACCTTCTCCCACTTAATAAACAACCCAGGAGCATACTTACTCCAATAACCTATCTCAACTATGCTGATGCTAGCATTAATTATACCTCATTGTTATTGAACTTGGATTTGCTATATATGCTAAACCTACAATTCTCATATTAGGGGGTGTTTGGATTTGATTCTTAAAACTGCTTCTGCTCCTTCAGGGAGCAGAAGCAGAAGTTGGAGTGTTTGGGTAAAAGTGCAGAAGTGATTCTGTGCTCTAATTTACTTCTAGAATCAGTTTTTTTAGAAGCTGGGGGTGACAAGCTTCTGAAAACTGATTCTGATTCTGCTTCTGCTTTAAAAAAGAAGCAGAATCAGAATCAGTTCCAAACACCACCTAAAAATACGGGCTATCTTGGCGCACCTTCGTTAACACTTTGTGCGCCCACAATTGTACGGGATCGGCCAATTTAGTCCTGGGCTTTCTTTCGTTGCCCCAATTTAACTCACATACTTAGCATCATCTCTCTTTTTTTC